AATACTTCAGCTATTAAACGCGCAATGGAATTTCATTATAACCGTGGTGAGAGAAGAACATGTTTAATTGGTAAAAATAATTTAAGCCCTACAGTTATATATATACTTTTTGATATGTTTATGTATTATATAAGTTATTATGTTTATGTTTATGGATTTTAGGTGACGCTGGATATCCATTAGAGCCTTGGCTGATGACTCCATTGGCGCATTATCCCGAATGGAGTAGACAGTATCAATATACTTTAAAATTATGTAAAGCACGCAACATTGTCGAAAGGTTTTTCGGTGTATTAAAGGCAATATGGAGATGTCTATCGTCCCAGCGTGTTCTCATGTATGCACCAAATATCGCTGTACAAATTGTCAATGCATGTGCTATTTTACATAATATGCGCTTGCATTAGAGATTACCTATTGATGTATAAATTGAAAATGCACATGAACCTGCACCTGCGTACCATTTGAACAATGCAGAAATAGAAGCAGAACTTCGGAGAGGACCTCGCGCGGTAGCACAACGTATTCAAAATCAATTAATGCTGGAATGGTTTCCTAATTATCGTAGGGCAGATGAGCACGTAAGATAATAAATCACATTCGGTTATATATGTATGAACGTGTGTGTATGGAGGATATATCTAAAATAAATTGGCAAAATAATCTTATATTTTAACATCGTCAACGTTGTTAAGTAGAGGCATAAAATTTTATTTAATCGGTTGTATCATCCTGGATAAGATATGAATAAGACGAGAAATCAAATAAGAATGAGTAGTATTATAGTAGTGCGGATTAAGAAATATTATTATTAAATATATTATTAACCCTAGAATCCATGACTGGGGTCGATTTCGACCCCAGGCGAACTTTGAACTACGCTCCTGAGCTAGCGAGTGACATTATCGACTCAGGACCTGAACCATAATTCATTTCAACTTTCTAAAAGTAGGGTTATGTCGGGCGCAGCGTTAGTTGTTCGCTAGCAGTGAAGTAGCACAGTCGTAAAGCGGGCGTGGGGTCGATATCGACCCCAGTCGTGACTTGCCGTTTGAGTTTCGTCACGGTAAGCTAATTTTATTTTTTCGCTAGAATCAATATATATCATGTATTATTACGTAATCTGAGCATAAATAGTCATAAATATTATTTAAGACGAAATATCACACAATTTAGTCGGTAAAAATCCCGTTGCCTAAGAAGATTGACATTTCGCAGAAAATGGCTGGGCGATATAATGTTTCATTTTTTTCATATTTTTTACTATTTTGTATCAAATAAAAATGAAATAATACTTAAAATACAATTTTTTATGGTTTTTTCATCGACTTTTTCCGTATTTCAACTTTGCGAATTTCTTCATCTTTATAGTCCCAAATAAATATACTTTTTGAACAGAACATAGCGATGACAATTTTTTTCTAATAGTCTAATGTGTCCTCTTTAAAACCCCGTTTGAAATTTTAAAATCGGTTGATTACAAAAAAAGATACAAATTTTTGTTTAAAAAAAGAGGTTTTTGCTGATTTTCTGCGTTTTTCAGTCTTTAAATGGATTTTTCACTAACTAAACTTGAGTAAAATTAAATTTACCGTATACCATTCTCTTCGTTATTAAAAAACGAAGAAATTCATGTAGGTTTAAAGGCCCTTTATTTCTGTAGGACCGGTTTTACGATCAAATAAAGCGTGGGGTCGATATTGCCCCCAGTCATGGATTAGAAGGTCAAAAAAATGTATCATGGATTCTAGGGTTAAGTTAAGAAATATTATTTAATGTATCTACATTATTATTATTGCACATACATAAATACTTATAACATAATTATTAAACGTATCTTAATGTAAAAGTATCTTAATGTGTTTACTTTAATCTCTCCAGAATAATCTCCAGTAAATGCGTTTGTCGTTCTCCATTCTCAGCCATTATGTTAATCGCTTCGCTTATTTTCATCACAGCTTCAGCTAATGTCTGTCAATTACAAATTAAAATTAAATTACATAACATTGAAATTAATTTATATAACATTAAATTATTAATAATTAATTAACATGGATACTAACGTGCATTGCATCTACATGTTTATTTGCGATGTCTGCAAATTCTTTTCGAGCTTCAGAATAGTGTGAATCTAACCGTGTGACATTATCTGCAAACATTTATGATTATTATACACACACTGACACACATACATGCACGCACACGTCGCCACGTGCCTGAGTACATGTGTAACAACTTCTACTTCAAACTTGTTGACAATTACGCTATACTTACGTTTCATGCTTGATTCTTCTTTATTTTTTTTATTTGATTTCTTATTGAATGAGTTTTGCGGTGGTAGTTCTT